TACTAAGCCAATGAAATGCAGTTAGCATCTAACCAGAAGTGCATAAGTGGCATATTTACAATAAATTACAAATAAGGATATACAGCTATGAGGGTGATATGTACAGGGAAATGGATGACTTATGTACAGAAGGTGCAGTGGGTATTATAAATAAGGATAAATGTGATCTATATATGTATGTACAATCAGTGTACAGTGGGGAAGACATGTTAAGAATATGATAAGAATGTGAACAGGATATAAAAATGAATATATACATATATATGCACACACATATATGCATGTATGTAGGTACAGTAGTGCAAAAGACCGCATTATAATTTATGTAGTGCAAAGAAGCAAGGTGAATAAACAGTGAGGTAAGTAGCTGAAAACAGATATTACAGTGTACAGTGTGGTATAATGTTAACACCATATTGCCACTACATTCTAGTACATAATAGTACATTTGTGTTTCTGTCCTGGTTGTACATGAGTTTAAATAGTTATGTTATTATAGCAGAAAAAGCATATAACTCAATGCATCTGGCTTTCCTGAGAATGAGAACCCATATAAATGAAATATGTGCAAATTACATATTTGGAAATGCATGTTGCTATCACCATAATGCTCCTCTTTTATTCAAGTTCTATTCCTAATAAAACCGGTGCACACTGGAGTAGTACTGATGCACGAAGCATGGTTATTTAGCAAGGTTGTAGTAATCAGAAGATCCGGTTGATGTGGTTAGATATGTCCACATTGAGGAAAAAGCAGCACTTGGGCAATTTTTCTAGCTGAATGTTTAAATGTGGCGGCAGGATCTTAGTCAACATCCTGTTTTATTTCATCACTCCCTCCAATTCCCTGAACACACACTATCTACAGACTTACCTCACCTTGAATACAGTCAGCTTTGTTGATTTCATATTCAGTGCAATACTACTGTGCCAGAGACAGTGTTATTATTACTACTGAAGGCATGTTACAGGTTTAATATCACAGTTTAAAAGTCAGAGGCCATGGGGATTCAGTGCTTGTTAGTAATGTGCAGGAGATGCGATAGACTTATATTTAATTATCTATTCAAGGGCAGATAAATTCTAGAAGCCATTGCTAAAATAAAATCCACCATAAATCTAAATACTAAGCATTTTATTATCTCAGCAAGCAAGCCCCCACACTACCTCTTCTTGCTAACTTTCTAAAATGTTGTGTGTTTTGTAGAACTGTGGAACAAACGATCAACATCAAACCATTCATTCATTCATCTACAGTAACCACTTTATCCTGGTCAAGTGAAGTAGATCTGGAGACTATCCCAGGAACAATGGGTGCCAGTCCATTGCAGGTCACCATGCACACACACTTATGCACTCATTCATACCTAGGACCAGTAGCCAATCCGCCCTACTGGCATTTCTTTGGAACATGGGAGGAAACTAAAAAACCCAAAGGAAACCCAAGTAAACATGGAGAGAACATATAAACTATACAGGTTGAACAAAAAAGTCATTGTAATGTACAGTACTTAGAGGCAGGACACAAGTGTTTATAGTCAGGCTTCTATATTAGGGCCAATCTAATATTTGTAGTCATAATCCACAGCATAGGTCAAATAACAAGCAGGCAGCATCAAACAAGGTATATCCATAATCACAAACCAGCACAGACACACAGAAACAAGGCTTGGACGTACACATGGAAGTAACACATGCATGATAAAGGTGAGATCAGCACATAGCTGATGCTGGGAAATATTCTGTGCACTGAGGAAATGTTATTTGGACTGCAATTGGTTCAAACTGACCTTATACTTTAATTCTACAATACATATTTATGCGTCTTTGGCATAACAATGTTTAAAAAAACATGTATGCACATCAAACATACAAATATTGTGCTAATGGATAGTGATGTAATGAGCAGTGGTGATGCATAACCCTGTGGTTAAATGACATCCAATATTATCCAGTCTGACTGTTGCTAAAGCTGATATCATTAACAGGGAAACGCGTTGCATTATTCTGTATTTAATTTAGCTTCCACATTTCAACATGCAGTAATTTCTTTATTAGAATATCTACAAGAGTAGGAAAATAGAGTATGATTACAGAGTGTCTGTGTGGAAGATGATATTTATAATCAATAATATTATCAAATATATCTACATTTTGGATTTTCATAAATCGAACAAAACCAAAGCAAAGATTCATGAATATTTGTTATTATTTGTTATTGTTATTTGTCTTACTACGAAATATGCACAACATAGCTTTATTTGCATCTGAGAAAATTATTCTGAGTATATTATTAAGCACATGGATGTTGTTTGACTGTATTAGGAGGGGAAAATTATATTATTATATTATTAATTTATTATAAAACTGTTTTCTATAGGTATTCAAGACCATTGTGTGTCTGAGGAAATAAACAAGGAGTGGCACAAAAGTTTTGGGTTTTGCAATCAAAGCAGGAAGCAGTAACTAAAATCATTACCAGTGTTGTAATCCATTCATTCATGGGGAAAACAGTCTGAATATTTTTATTTCTTTTAGTAAAGTGCTTCAGATTTTTTTTATGCTGGCTCCTTTAACACCAAAGTTCATCCTTCACCTTTTCTCTAAAATAATATTAAAATAACTGAAATTCAATGTGCTATCTATATAATGTATAATGAACATGCTTAGTTAATAATTATGGAGTAAGTTTCATTAAAATAAAAATTTGTCTACAAAAATGTTCAGGAATCATAAACAAAATTAATTCTATATATTCTATTTTTGCAGTTAAGCATCTTTCATGGAATTCCCCTTCTTGATATGAGCACTAGAGAAAAAAAGAAAAGAAAAGAAAAAAAAAACATGACACACAAGTGGGCAGAATAAATGGGATGAGGCTGAGTAACTTACGTCTCATCAGAGCTATAAATACCGGTTGCAGGATTCAAGGCTAGACAGAGAGTAAAACCAGCCAGAAGAAGAAGACTAAAGAAGACTCAATTTCAGAGACTTTGACAGACTTTCTACAAATCAGTGGCTGAAAGCTCTCACTATGAGAACAAGTATTTTGGCGTTCATGGTCCTTGGGGCCTGCACTTTAAGTGCATGGTGCGTCCCAATTAAATCCACCTTTGTGACCTTCCCCGGAGATGTAATCAAAAACATGACAGACACAGAGCTGTCTGAAGTGAGTATTGCTTCTCTTCTTTCATTTTTTGCAGATTCACACAAATGTATGCAGAACATTGCTAAACATGTTCTGGTAAATAAATTATTTAACTCTAAACGAAAGCATACTTGATAACGGTAGGTAACATGACCATTTATTCATCCATGCAGTACATACACAATATGTATGTGGTCAAATAACACCTCTAAATATATTACAGGGGAAATTACACATGTATTCATGTAAGCTTGCCTGATTGCCTTTTTCTATTTTGTTCGTCTGCAGAGCTACCTGAAGCGCTTTGGTTATATGGAGGTTCTGGATAAGAGTGGACGACAGGCAGCAGTGTCTACCTCCAAAGCTCTGAGGAGGCTGCAGAATCAGCTGGGCCTGAAAGAGACTGGCAAGCTGGACCAAGCGACAATCGATGCCATGAAGCAGCCACGCTGTGGTGTGCCAGACGTCCGCAACTACCAGACATTTGAAGGAGACCTGAAGTGGGATCACACTGACGTTACATACAGGTAACCATTTTAGTGTTTAACATGTTAGGAAGCAAAGTAGAGCCCCTTTAGGAACCAAACCTTTGAGTAGAATGGAGTGGCTTCTTAGCATTACCCATGTCTACAAACAGAGAACCTGTGTATCAATATGTATGAGAGGAAATGTGTGTGTTTTTTTTTAAATAAAATTAAATCTTTTAATGTGCTTTTGCAAACAGCCATACTTTTCCACTGTCACCACAGATTCATGGAAATCAATAGTCATTTGATTAGAAATCCAATTGGATCATTATTTAAGGAAAGAGTCTGAGGGAGGATGTGAGCTGTGACGGAAGTGAGGAAAGAATACCCAGCATCAGACAATACAGCTACAGGATTAGGTCAAATGTTACTATTATAATAATAAAATGTTACTCTATTATATTTTCTGTAGGATTTTGAACTACTCACCAGACTTAGACGCCTCTACTACTGACGATGCCTTTGCCCGTGCCTTTAAGGTGTGGAATGATGTCACACCCCTAACTTTCACACGTCTCTATGATGGCACTGCTGACATCATGATCTCATTTGGAAAAAAGGGTGAGTTTTTGATCATCTTATGATTAAATTGGCTTTCTACCAGTTACCCAAGAATAAAGCATTTGCGGCACTGAGCAGACACCCTTGCCCAGAGCAACTTACAATTATCTCATTTATACAACTGAGCATTGAAGGCCTTGCTCAAGGGCCCCGTAGTGGCAGCTTAGTGATGCTGAGAGTTGAACTCTCAACCCTTTAAACAGAAGTCAAATGTCTTAACCACTGAGCTACCACTGCCCGTAAAGCATAAATCTAGTTAAATCAGTTCTCTTTAAGCAGTGTCCTATCACTGGGAATTTTACAACTCGATAGATTAAGAGGACAAAAACAGATTCTTTTTAGTTATTTATGTTTCATTACTTTTCCAAATCAGCTGTTTATGCAGTTGTATGATGCAAATATAAAACAAAAGGGGGAAATGGTTTAAACAGGATATGTATATTGCAGATCATGGAGATCCCTACCCATTTGATGGGAAAGATGGCCTGTTAGCACATGCTTATCCTCCAGGTGAAGGGATACAGGGAGATGCTCACTTTGATGATGATGAATACTGGACCCTTGGCAATGGACCAGGTAAGGATCTTGTATTTAAAAAAAAAATTGTTTTAAACATTTTATAACAAATTTTAAAACAACGTCTTCCTTCAATGTGTGAGCTGATTATCGCAGTTTCATGTAAGCATGAATGTGTCTTTTTCCTTCAGCAATCAAGACCTACTTTGGCAATGCAGAAGGCGCTATGTGTCATTTCCCTTTCTGGTTTGAGGGGAAATCATATTCCACTTGCACCACTGAAGGTCGTGGAGATGGTCTGCCATGGTGTGCCACAACTGCTGACTACAGCAAAGATGGGAAATATGGTTTCTGCCCTAGCGAGCGTAAGTTCTCCGTCATCTATGGCAAGAACTGAGCATCATTTCAGTGTATGTGAGATGATAAAGTAACTGGGCTTGTCTCTCTTCACAGTTCTGTTCACATATGACGGGAATGGTGATGGTGCACCTTGTGTCTTTCCATTCGTGTTTGAGGGGAAAACATACACCAGTTGCACCACTGACGGACGTGATGATGGGTATCGCTGGTGCGCTACTACAGCCAACTTTGACCAGGACAAAAAATATGGGTTCTGTCCTAACCGAGGTGAGAGACTTCAATACACAATTTGGTTTAATCATATCAGAGAACCTAGCTATTATGTGTTAGCATTTTAAAAACCAGGCATTAGGTCAAAGTTACTCAAAGGAAGTGCTTCACCATATAATTGATGTTTATTAGCGCATGAATTTTGGCCAACAGATACTGCTGTGATTGGTGGAAACTCTGAGGGGGAGCCGTGTCAGTTTCCTTTCAGCTTCCAGGGGAAAACCTATACTTCCTGCACGAGTGAAGGCCGCAGTGATGGAAAACTGTGGTGCGCCACAACCAGCAACTATGACAGGGACAATAAATGGGGATTTTGCCCAGATAAGGGTAATTTTCATAGCCTTTAGCATATTATCAGTGTAGCTAATAATACATCTCTTAATCACTACACCTGACACATATATGCAAACATCAAGGATTGCTATGAACCCATATTTCTGCTTGTCACAGGATACAGTCTGTTCCTGGTGGCAGCCCATGAGTTTGGACATGCTCTTGGTCTGGACCATTCCAACATTCAGGATGCTCTGATGTACCCCATGTACAAATATATAGCAGATTTCTCTCTGCATCAGGATGACATTGAGGGCATCCAGTATCTCTATGGTATGTAGATGAACATGGATATTATGTTCACCCATTTTTTATGACCCTGACCTAACAAAAAGGCCTGTTGGTCACAGCTATTATGATAAACAAAAAATTCATGGTACCTAATAATGTATTCACATCTTTTACCTTATTCAGGACCCAAAAAAGGCCCAAACCCTACTCCACCCAAGCCAACAACCACTACATCTTCCCCAATTTCTACTCCCAAACCCACTAAAAAAACACCAAAGACTACTCCATCCCCGACTTCCACCACAACTCCATCTGTGTATACGCCTGTGGACCCCTCAGTAGATCCTTGCAAAGTGGACAAATTTGATGTAATCACAGAGATCCAAGGGGAGCTTCATTTCTTCAAAGATGGGTAAGAACTGGTAGCCTGCATGCAACAGTACTATCAAGGAACTACATACACTTGTATATATAGTGAATATTTATGATCAAGTACTCCCAATAAATAACCACAAGAACACCTGATCAGTCCACATTGTGAGTCTTTGTGGTCTGGTTGGGGTGCTTGAAGACTAGAGGAGGTACAGCTTCAAGTAATAAAATAATTATGAGTATAGCAAGACTCGAAAGTTTAGTCATATAGAATTAATCAGGAAATTAAAGGAAGTAATCTTTCATTCCTATTAGGTATTACTGGAAGTCCTCAAATCGTGGTAACAGGGAACGCAAAGGCCCCTTCCTGGTCTCTGAGAGATGGCCTACCCTGCCAGCTAAGCTCGACACTGCTTTTGAGGACCCTCTTACTAAGAAGATATACTTCTTTGCAGGTAAGAGTCAGATAGCTTGTTATAACTAAACATTTCTTACATAGGTTATATAATTACTGATTATTTAATTCATCAGAGATTCTCAATCTATTTCAGACACTAGCTTCTGGGTGTTCACTGGACGGGAAGTACAGGGACCTCGCAGAATCGAGAAACTTGGCTTGCCTGTCACCTTGAAGAAGGTCGAAGGAGCACTGCAGAGGGGAAAAGACAAGGTGCTGCTTTTTAGTGGAGAAGACTACTGGAGGTGAATATAAGTCTATCTAAAGCTTTCTGATGCTCTTACTTCAAAGACTTGCTTATCTTCTGTATAATCAATAAGAGATAGAACTAATTCCCACTGCTTTTGGCCCTTGTTCATTTTAGGCTGGACATGAAGACTCAGCAGATAGATAAAGGATACCCTCGCCACACTGACGTGACCTTCGGTGGGGTTCCACTGGATGCTCATGATGTGTTCCTCTATAACGGTAAGTCACTTTTCTTGCCAATCAAATAGTCAGTATCCATTTGCAAAAATATCTGATTTCAATTAAATGCTCATTTGTTCCAGTACAGTTTTTAGAGATCTTACTCAGAGGTCATGAATTAAACAAAATACCACTATTTATTATTTCATTTCAGGACACTATTACTTCTGTCGAGACATCTACTACTGGAGAATGACCAGCAAGCGACAGGTTGATAGAGTTGGATATGTCTATGAACTCCTGAATTGTCCCAACTACTGAATCTGATTTCATCAGACTGAAGTATTATAAGGAAAGCACAGCTTACTGAAATGTAAATCCCAGATATGTGTTTTCAAAAAGAAAGTACAGTATTATTGAAAGAGTAGAAACTATGTAATAATATCTTATGTGTTTTATTAAGAACTATTTGCCTGGAGCAAATGATAAAGTTAATTAAGGTTAAGTCAGTTAAGGTTATATTGGTTAAGGTATTTGAAAATATATTTTGTCTTCTCTGTTCTATTTCTTCTCCTTATAGCCTAAATTTGCACAAGTGAATTTTTTTCACAATTGTCTAATTTATTTATAAAATCAGTAGTATTTTGTCATATGAATAATTAAATAAATTATTATTTTAAGTCTCTATATGTTTTTTCTGATGCTTTTTACTTACTGTGTTACTGTGATCACCAATGTCAGCAAGGATTTTCACTTAATTTTCGTTTTTGCATTTTTTCCAATATTTTAAATAGCATACTGTTAAACATTGTTTAAAAATCTGCACGTATATCCCATATTCAGTACATAATTACTGTAAGCACAGATATCCATTTCACAGGTCCAGAATCACATGACCATAACAGTAAGCATTACTGAGAGTAGGAGGAGTTATATGATTCAGAAGAAGACAAGAAGTAGGGCCAGAGGAAGCAAAGCAAAAATATGAGAATATTTGTAAAATTCAGTCAGATCCACTTTAATAGTCCATTCACTGAACCATGAGTGAATATTAATGAGATAGCTGAGAATATAATAATAATAATAATAATAATAATAATAATAATAATCATCATCATCATCATCATCATCATCATCATCATCTTGATATATAGCACCTTTCATACAAAAAGCAGTTCAAAGTGTTTTAAATAATTGTCATTTTGTAAAACAGTAAAAGGATAAATGGCAAAGGATATAGCATTTAATACAAGAAAAGCTTAAATAGAACATTAGAACAAAAGATATATGATTAAATTTAATTAAGTGTAAAAATATAAGAATAGAGAAGGGGAGAGGAAGGACTGGCTACAGGCTGAAATTCAAACAATACAAGTTTCAGCAGACTCTTGCGTATAGCCTAACACCCTTGCTTCCTTAAACAGGTTGCCTCCTAAATGAGAACAGCCCCTGACACAAAGCTTAATGCCTTTGTTTCTTTAAACGGGCTGCCTCCTATATAAGCGCAGACCCCTGGCCTTATATGGGTTGCGTGAAGCTTAATGCCCTTGCTTTCTTAAACGGGTTGTCTCCCAAAAATATTCATGTATGATTATCTTAAACCATTTATATCTGCTCAGATATAATCTTTATTCATTCATCTATTCATCCCCCCCATGGAGTTTGATGCAGTGAGGTAGAAGTGAAGTAGGGCAGTAGAGCCACCCTTGATGAATGGATCTGAGGGGAGAGGTCAGACAAAGAGCAAATCTAAAGAACCCCATGTACAGTAAAAAAAAAAATAGGCTTAAGTGTACCCTGTCTGGAATAAGTCACTGAGACCCACCCAGCTCCCAGTAGTTGCAATATGGAGCCATCTTGTGGACACATTCGAGATGAAGGGGTAGGGTCATATGCAGTATCTGTTGGGTGTCAGGAATGTGATGGAACAAATACAATTAAGAAGGCTTAAATCAAAGTAGAGAATTAATTTTAAGATGGACATGAAAACATAGGCTACAAACAGTTGGAGGTAGGTTTAGAATGTAAAACTATTGGCATAATTTCTGCATTACAATCATAGGTACCCTCTATGGAAGGGCATTGGATCATTCAAAACTAAAACTGGGGGGACAATGCCCCCCAAATCCCAAGCAAAGTAAAGAAAAGCAGCATTCTAAGATGTGTTGCACAACCTGGTGACCCAAATAAGTGACTTGAGCTCTTCCAGTCTCACATTTCAAAGCCCAGCTTGTATACATTCCAGCCACAAATTACTGTGAATGTCCACCTTATCAATGTAAATGATT